TCCTCATTTGTATAGCTTGTCAGACTGGGGGTATAATCAACTGCACCTGCAACAGTATTCACACGATTTTACTCCAAAAATTATGGAAAAATGACAAAGAATTTCTTTAATTAATACCTATGCATGAGGTTCATGTTTTTTGTTTCCTTATTTACCCACCCTTACGACTGTAAATCATCCTTAATTGAACGAAACGCCAGGCCGGAGTTAGCAATAAACCAACTCTACACTGAATCGATTTCTGCATGTGTATGGGTCAACCCGGCGGTGGAGTAAAAGTAGTTCAAACATATGCTACTTGAAAAATTATCCAAAAATTACAAAATGTCTGAAATGAATGCCACAAGTGTTTTTCTCTTTCTTTATTGACCAAAACGTCCATAAAATGTTCTCTATGGCATAGCATGTCAGGCGGGAGGTAATACATGTTTTGTAATATAAAAACTATGATTTGGTACAATGTACATACTGTACATGTATAGGATGACCTGGAAGTTGATTTGATTTAAAGTACATGGAATTCAAACTACAGTAACTTGAAAAATCATCGAAAATGACAATATTTAGAATGAATGCTTACAGAAGAGGTCATTGTTTTATTTCTTTAAATTTTAGGGCAATTGTGTTTGTGTGTTTACATGTACATGTCCAGTGCATGGCAGCGCTAAAAAGGTGTAACAATAAATGTGTATCAGGGCAGGCTGGCAGGGGGTCACAGGGTCATTGCAACAGGTAACTTGTGAATTGTTGTACATTGTAAAACATTGTTACACATTTTGGGTAGGTACATGTAGGTAAAAAGGAGAGGCAGTGAAGGACAGGATAAAGGAGACAGGGGTAGAGATGTAAAGTGGTTAAACTGGGGAGCCAAACAGATGAGGGACTAAGGAAGTACTAAAAAGCTGTTTGTGTGATATTAACCCCATTAATTTCCTTCAATGGAACTCTTGCTCACAACAGAGTGAATTTTGTTAGCTTATTGCCACAAAACTGAAAGTAAAACTTGCTATGGAGCTCCTTGTCAATCATTGTTGATAATTCCAAAAGATGATGTTTGATATTGAATCTAATGTTCAAAGTTCAAGATACACACTTAGCAAATTTTTAACTAAACACATCCTAATTTTTCTGTGAAGAGAAATAAGCAAACTTTCTACTTGATAACTGTAATTTTAAAGTGATTTTATTTTACAAATAAGTTGTAGGCTAATGTCAAAGTACACTGTTAAATTGGCGACAGTAATTTGTAGTTACCAGCACATGACACCGGGGGTGACCAGAGAATTAGCCTGTGAGATAACAGAAGCATCTTTGAAGGACCCTCCGGTATGTTAACATTTGTTTAAATGAAAATTAAATCGCCTGTCATTTTAAATTTCACATCAACATTTTAACAATGAGTTCTTTGATAACTTTTTTTTTTACAAAAGAACTAACAAAATCAACTTCTGCATTGAGCTCAAAAACAGAGCTCAGTCATTGCAGATGCATCACACTGGATTTGCTTTAAATCCTTCCGACATCAACATCAAGTCTGGGCATTTGCGTCACAGAGGGGGGCAAGGTGATTGCTGCCCCCTTTTTCCTTAAAAAAAGGCAGTTTCCCTGAGAAAATTCTTGTGACACCCATGGATCTACATATAGCCATTCCTACTACTGGACTGTGAGATTTCCAAGGCCAATCCTCACAGCTCTTCTGTGAGGCTGCATTGCAGACACATCCAGTGACTGGCATCCAGCTGCTGACTACAGATTCTAACTTTTGAAATGCACTCAGTATGGAGCCAATTGAGACAGCCCTCGCAGAACAACATCTTTTTGGATTCTTGTGGTTTGTTACAATCATCACCGATATAAGAAGTGCACCATGTTGCCTCCATCAAACTATTTCTGATATTTACCAAATACTGTAGGTCATGGTGTCGTCACCATTTTGAGGTTTGGCGAGATATATGTACGCTAGTAGTGCATAGTAACAATCGCCTCTTCTACAAGCTCTGCATAGGCAAATCTGTTAAAATTTGAGCGATCCAGTTCTGCACTCTTTGCATTTTTGCTTGTGAATACTTCTGGTAATTGCCACTATTACTATTGCATGCGCTGCGGCACATACAACATTGTACAAAGATGCCACACTCGTTTCCATTCTTCTGGTAGGGGTTCATCAGTCGGCACAAAAACATGCTAATCTGACACGGAAAAGGATTTTGAATACGTTACAGCAAGAAAAGTGTTGTACATGTCTGTGAATAAGACTGCAGATTGCATGTTTTCTCCATGCAAGGAGTCCACAATAACCAACTGTCGTAATTTTCTTATTATGACCAATAGTATCCAGTGGTTACCGTGGACTATCACAGGCCAAAGCCAGACATCTTTCTCAAAGATGCAATGCGCAAGGGCCCACTTTATGACAAATTCTACTTCACCCTCTTCCCATGTGAGAAATGCATGGGAATCTGCAACAACGAATGTAACAGAGCTGTCAGGAGACTGTTGAAGGTAACACTTGCTTATAAATGCCAAAATAATGGCTTCTGTTAATCAGCCTGTTAGCAACAGCAAAGCCAAGTCGGTGGAATTTACTTGAAATGGCCCAATGTGTTTTTTGAGTGGGACCTGTATCATGGTCTATCCGAGACTCTGATTTAACACTTGGTGTTGATGTTGTCAAAGGAGTGAAGTGATCACCAAGTGGAGATGGTGGATTGGCAGGGCACGATGGTGAGGATGGTAGACAGAAATCATCCATATTCCATGTGTCCTCCATCATAGTTGCTTCTATCGAGTCAGGGGCACAACTGACATCCAGATCATCAATTCTGGGCTTTTTACGACTAGATCTCTTCTTTTGGCACTTTGACCTCCTTAATCTAGACAGATTGTTATGTCTTGTATCGGTTACCCCAGGAGCTAAGCCGACAGCTACCGGTAGGCAGCATGTGATTGTATGGTAACAGGCACAGTACCCTTTTAGAGGCAAGGGCATGATTCTTTTGGGAAAAGCGTTACAGAATATGAAGTTCCCTTTGCTTCCCTGCACTAGGAAAACACTCTGCTCAGCAACACACGTGATTTTTTGGTTTTGGATGACCATCTTGGCCAGACTTACATGTACAAGTAGCTGGCTTTTGAAGCTGCTTCTCTGGTGGGATTTCATGCTTGAGTTACTGTAGTTTAACGTCCATCACAACCGTGTCTAGATTGTTTTCCATGTATGGAAATACTGTTTGGGATCACTGAATTTAAGCTCTTTCTTCAAGCAAAAGTTTTCACCTAAGGAACAAAACCAGCGCAGGATTTCATTGTAGTAGATGTTTTGTAGAAAGAACAAAATCAACACAATGTTGTCTAGACTGACTTCCTTGAGTTCTAGTACACATTTCATTACTACATTCAAGCTCTCGCTTTGGTTTGTTGTCATGCCAGGATCGTCTGTGTACCCCCCCAGCCGTTTTAGCACCCACTTGCCAGCGGACAACAATATTGCAGGTTCAATCTCGAGGTCAAAGTAATTGATAAATGCCTCACTCCACTTTACCTTCAGTGTATCACGAACCTGAAAGTATTTTTCTTTGGTGTTAGAGAGAAGAAGTTGCTTCACATGGTGTCTGTTGGCCTGGCGGTCTCCTGCCTGCTCACCTTTGCGTAACTGAGGGCATAATTGCGTCTTGACAACCTCAAAGAAATCCCCATGATTTGCTTCCAATTTTTTTCATGTATTAAGACAGCAACTGGAATCAGTGGTTCACTGGCAAAAGAGCCATGTTTCACAGTAAGGGCAGAAATATAAAAATCACTCAAGTTGAATGTGGTGTCATACGGTATGAGACTACAAGTACATGTAAGTTCATTGAGGATTTCTGTGTACCTGCTTTCTTGGCATGGTCTTTCAGCACTGAGGGAAATGTTCTCACATGCGGACAGGTGGGATGTTTCTTAGAATTACCATGAGGAGAGATAGATTCCTTCAAAACCACTTCTTCATTACCAAGGTATTGTATCAAAACTAATGTGCAAACCAATGCAAAGAACCAATTCAGGAAGCATCTGAAACTGGTCTATGAAATCACCAAGTTAAGTACGTACATGTACATGTTGTATATTTCATCTTGAACCAGCCAGCCCTTTAACTTCTCAAATTTCACTTTGTTCCTCACCTGTGCAGTATCCTTTTTAGTGCAGCACTTGCACATTGAAAGAGGGACATTTTTGGACATTAAATCCCTGTACGTCTTGTGAGGATTTCTGTGAACCTGCTTTCTTGGCATGGTCTTTCAGCACTGAGGGAAATGTTCTCACATGCGGACGGGTGGGCTGTTTCTTAGAATTACCATGAGGAGGGATGGATTCCTTCGAAACCGCTTCTTCATTACCAAGATATTGTATCAAAACTAATGTGGTTGGACCATGCACTATCTGATATGCATGCCTAGTAACAGTGTCTGGACCACCAGAAGAGTACATGTACATGTACCGGTAGGTCGTACCTACGGCCTACATGTACATACATGTATATATGTACGTGACTTTTGTAGCATTGTTGAAAATGATCAGAAAACATAAATTGGAGTGTTGCACTTTAATTGACTCTATTTAAACCAGTACATGTACATGTGATTGCTTTTTTGTGTGGAAGACTTCAAATTAGTTATAAACTATGGAAAAACTGTAATTCTGCTGTGAGCTTTGTCCAACCATAAATAACCTAAAATGCGGGACTGTACATGTACATGTACATGTATTTCCCCAAGAAGATGTACAACTTGTGGCCCTTAGGAAGTGCAGACACTGACAAATTGGTATCTTTGCTAAAAACTCTATGATTCCTGAGGTCTTTTTGGGTTGAGTCTTGACTTGGTTGCCAACCATTTGGTCTTCAGTCTTCTGTTACAACCAGTGGTCTTTATTGATTAGCCTTTTTGATTACAAGATCTTGGTAAATGATTTTTTTTTAAGTAAATGATTGAATCTACTGTAATTTTCCATTTTCTACCTAGACAGCTGTTAACAAGTTAACATCCAGCCTTTTCCTACTTATTCATCTCTTTGCCATCAACCTTTCAAGATGACATCACTAACTGATTAAGAGAAGAGTTACAATGTATGCATCCAAAAATTGGTAAGTTTGTTTCCATTTCTGGGCAGTGTAGGATTTTAATTACAGCTCATATATGAAAAGTATTCGAGTTTCATTAATGAATCCTGAAAGTTTATTTTCCCTTTGTCTCAGTCACAAAATTAAGAGGGAAAAGTTTTAATTTATTATATTTTTGGTCAGTTGCACAAATTTTCCTTTGTTCCCAATTCATCACACTTGCCTTTCTCATCTTGAGAAATGGATAACAGCTCAAATGATCTCAGAGGGATGTACTGTTTTGGCTTGTGCATCTCAACCAACCCTGTAAAATCATGCTTCTGATGTGTTAAACCGTGCTTTGTAGCATGGTTGGCTGATTTAAATCATGTTGGTTTAAATCACTGATTTTCATCACAATTTCAGTCCAGTGACTTATTTGAACAATTACTGATTTAATGCACTCTTTTGTAAATACCGGTATCTCCTTTTCCAAAGCAATTAAACCAACCGACTCCTTCTAATTGCCAAGTACAACATGTTATCGACACATTCAGATATCCTTTCATTTCATCAGCATTTGACTGAACAGAACTTTGGATTTGAACAAAGTTGATTGATATTGTCCCAGTAAATGTTTGAAGGTCATGTGATTATCTGTCAAGCCAAGTGCCTCTTGGAGAGACTGTGTATGGAGAGTGAACTGTTTACACTCAAGCATGAAATGCTACTAGTACCAAATATCTTCAGTGGTACGGCATTGAGGTATTTGTTATGGAGGAGTTTTGAGTCCTTTGAAGCCTGTACATGTACTGTTACATGTACCTACCAGTACCGGTAGACAAAGTCTATTGGGCAATTCCATATGGGAATTGAGAAAAATGACAAATGCTACAGCTGATGGAATAAAAATTAAATTTACTGTGCGTTGTCAATAAATGTACACCTGGAATGGAGCCAAAAATGTTTTTGAAAATAAGGCAAAGTAAAAAAAAAGTTTCGCATCCAGATTTTTGAAAAAAACAAAGGAAGTGGGGCTTTTTATTTCGTATTGTTTTTCGAGATAGCCGCCATTTTAAAATTTCCTGCAACCGTAAGTGTTTCCACTCTTCAAAGACATGTTAAAATGAAAGACAAGTTGGACAAAAGAACTGAACATAATATTTACAGTGTCATTTAGTGTTGGATTGGTCTACAATGAACAGGTTTAGATGCATTTGCTTTAACAGCCAAAAGTCAAGATTTATTTTGGATGAGTAATTTTACAGATAAAATCAAGCACCAAATGTCAACTCTCAAAATCTACAAGTGTAAATGCCAAGCTATAGATAAAAATGTGTTTGTGCTTTTCCATAAACATGTGAAGATTAATTGAAAATATTTGAGGTAATTTTTTTCTTTACATTTTTGTCAGTTTACTTTTGGAAGTCTTATTTTTCTACTACTGAGATTTTACCTTTGGAACATGCCCCAGAGGTTGGTTCCACAAGGTTGACTAGACATGGTCAACTTCATGTACATGTACCTTGCATTCGAATGTGGTCAGTCCAACTGTTGTTAAAGTTCTACACTTACACTGTACACGTACACGCACATGTACATGTAGATATGTTTGAGATCAAATCACTCTAGATGTCTGCATTGTAGTTGACTGCATTCCAGTTCTTCATTGTAATAATACATACTGTACATGTTGCTGCATTGACCAATACATGTACATGTATGGACAATTATATTCTGATTTCCCAGCACATTACATATAGGTTATTCAGTGATTTTAGTTTGTGTAATTCCGTTACCGTGTTTAATGTACATGTACATGTATGCCGTTGGATACGTGGAACAAGTCCTACCCCACACAGTGAAGCAAGATTAAGCAGTTTGAAGCTGACAAATGTATTTGAAGCAACTGCCTTGTTTCTGATCACAACTCGGGGTTCAGAAGTTGGAAATTTCATGTTCTTTTCCAATACACCCTTGTTGCTACATGTAGGTGTAAAAATTGTAATAACTTTCAGATAGGTATACAGATGCATTGTTTTATGGTTTATGTTTAGGTATTATGGTTTATGTTAGTTAAAGCTAAAAAACATGCCCGGATTAAAAAATAAGAAAGATCGCTATTCAAGTGGTAACGGAATTACAAAAAAAGGTAACGGAATTACATATGTGAAATGTACTTGTACATGTACATTGAAAAATGCCAGTGATGGAGTATGGAATATTTGTACGTACCGGTATTGGCCCAGAGAAGTTGAGAGGACATGGGAACACAGATTTTGGGTAACAACAAATACAAATGTTATGGATTTACAGGAATTGCTATGGGGCCCCAGAAACACCTTGAACGATACACAAGTAAAGGCAACAATAATACATGTACTGTAGCTATTAGCAAAGTACACAGTGTTAACAATGTAGCACCGCTATAACGGAGAACTTCTCCATAGCGTCATGAGCAAGAGACGCCGGGTTTAACGACGCAAAGTAACGGGCAAGAAACGCCGGATCTTGTAATGCATGTGTAACGGGCAAGAGATGCTGAAACTCTAACAAATAGATAATGGGCAAGAGATGCCAAACCTTTAACTGGTGGCCAGTAACCAAGAGACTATGTATGCAGTAAGTCAACAGAATGTTTGCCCCCATCCCAACCGCCCAAGGTACGCGGGGAGAGGCCACCCCTCGACTGGGGATTTTAGGCCCAGAACAGGACATGACTTGAGCCAAACGAGTTCCGACATTAGGAACTTGCCCAACCCCCCTCCCTTTTTTGATCTCAAGCCAGTAACAACCCCCACCCCACTTACGAGGGAATAACAACATACGGACAAAGGTGCACATGCTAGGGCTTGGAAATGCGAGGTGGGTGGAGGAGGGCCTCAGGTTTGTGTTTGAAGAAGGTTATAGCGGCAACTAAGTTCTGGCAGAACAATTTGTTGCCTAGCTGTAAGCCATCTCACCAGAAGATGCAGTGTTGGCTAGGGTTGATACTGTCAGAATGAACTATGGCATGGGCCTTTCCCAGATGTCTGCACAGCCTATGAGCATATTTATTAAGGGCATTGACATTTCTCTGGCTCATTCCAGGGCGTTCCTCATTAAAGTAAAAAAGGCGCAACAGAATGTCTGACCATATGATGATATTGTTGGGGAGCAAATGACGAATGCCTTTGAGGCCCTCCTCCATGCTCTCCCGGATCTCCTTCACTGGTGTGATAAATAGATAATTAGCCACCGCTTGGGGGTGCTGTCGCGATACATCACTGGTGCTACTTGTACTTGAGCATGGCTCGGGCGCCCGTCGGGATGTGCCGGATTGTAGGCCGAGCAGACTCCACAAAACTCGCGACAGGGTCCTGGTTTGGCTTGAAGGCAGAGACTTCCTGCGTCCCGCATGGTCTTCCTGGTGCTTCCTTTTCTTCCCTCGGCCTCACCTGTTAATACGGCCATGGAGGTGTCAAATTGCTGGAAATAACAGGTAGAAACTGGCAAGCGTTTTTTTTATTTCAAACTGTACACGCTCGGCGAAAGAGGAGAAGTGTGGCAAACTTGCCCAAACAACCAGCCAGCATGATGTGTGCAACGTCTGATTGGTTGGGGTGCAGCCGTTTTGGGGAATGGGCTAAACTTGAGCCGCACACGCAGCACGAGCAACTTCACTGGTATCATAAATGCTCTCACCCCTCTGACCCAAAGGGGGATCCCCGGAGACAGGCTCCTGGGAACCGTATTAATACTGTTGCGTTCCCCAAATATCATGTCGATGGCAGCATGGACTTTATCAGTGTCTACGGGTTGTGATATTTGGGGTCAACAATTTATTAAAAGGTGGACGTGAAATAAGGGCTTTGGGTAACAGTCAAACTGTAATGTTGGTTTATTGCTCTCACTTCTCACTTCTTTTCTTCAAAGTTCAATGTAGGTTTGAAGAAGGTGTAGCTTTACATAATCATTACCAGCACACTGTCGTAAAAGTTGGTACTTTAATACTTCTACACAAACACCCCTTTCACAAGGGGTTTGTGCACAAACCCTGTCAGACCGCAAGTATCTACTCCAAACCACGTTCAGTTAACTCGGCAGCCACAGGGGAGTTCAGAGTCAGTGACTGCTGAAACCGCAGAGTATGCTGAACACAGTATACAGTACATTTGTTTATGCATGCTCACAGTGCACATTGATTATGTCGGTGACCAGGATGGTATCAGAAGGCTGTTTCAATCTCTTCTCGTTTTAACCCTCCACTTTTCTGTCGGTTGTAAAAAAATGTAAATGCACGATGTTTTGTCATGGGTGTGGACAGTTACTGTTAAATAAACTTCATGCAGCGAGGATTTTCTGCCAACATTTTCACCAGCTTGATTGCCCCAACCTCGTTTGTCACAAATCATCCTGTTTGTTTTCGTTTAGTTGTATTTATAATTTACAAACCGTGATCACAGAAATTTATGAACATTATAACGCCAACTTTATTAGTTCCTTATCTCATTATCTCAAGATCTCATCTCAAGATCGAAGACGACGCAAAATCCCCCTTTTTCTCTGCCAACCAGCTCTGTCTGACACGGTCAAACCGGCGAGGCAATTTGCATCCCTTTCTCAGCCCACTTGCATCCTCTTTTTTCACCGGCAACCAGCCCAGTTTGACACAGTCAATCCAGTGAGGCAATTTGAATCGCTTTCTCAGCCCACTCGCATCCCCTTTTTTCACCGCAAACCAGTTCTGTCTGACATGGTCAATCTAGCGAGGCAATTCGCATCCCTTTTTCAGCCCACTCGCATCCCCTTTTTTACCCCCAACCAGTTCTGTCTGACACGGTGAAACCGGCCAGGCAATTAGTATCCCTTTCTCAGCCCACTTGCATCCCCTTTTTTCACCGCCAACCAGGCGAGGCAATTTGCATCCCTTTCTCTGCCCACTCGCATCTTTTTTTTCACCGCCAACCATCCGAGTCTGACACAGTCAAACCGGCGAGGCAATCGGCATCGCTTTCTCAGCCCACTCGCATCCCTTTTTTCACCGGCAACCAGCCCAGTCTGAC